AAGACAGACGTACAAGTACGGCCTTGGTAGGCGGGGCCTAATTTTAAAAAGATGCACAAGTACGTCTTGTGGAATGAAAGAGTTAATTAATTATTGTTCATAGTTTTTTTTTTAACTTGTGTGAATTGCCTCGTGCATGAATCGTGCTCTACAAATAAATTTGCCTTGCCTTTTGCGCTGCCTTTTGCGCAAAGAAAAAGTGACAGAGAGTAAACTGACGGATGGCAGACACATCTGACGTGCATATGTTGAAATGGATTTTTTTTTTTTTTTTTTAAAACAATTCAAGTTTGTGGCTTTTGGGAGGCTTAGCCGTCCTCTCCTTGTTGATTTGTTTTTGGGTGTGCGTGTGTGTACAAACTGGCTCTACCGCAAAGTAAAGAAGAGAGGGCACACGGGCTTTCATGGTACATCAGCTCACTTTCTTCGGATTCTGAAAGTGATTTTCTCACTGTATCTCTGAGGAAATGATTCATTAGGCTGCGGCCCAGTTGGGATGGCTCCGACGGGGAATGAGAAGCAGGCACCTCACCCGAGGCCCCTGCTTTTGGAGCGCGTAGCGAGAAGGATGATGGGAAGCAGTCGCGAAGGCCGCGATAAGAAAAGAGTGTTTGAAACGGGAGGAGTGGATGCGAGGAGAGGGCGAGGTGGAGGAGAGGGAAGTTTGGCCTGCAGATGGAGGGGATGGAGAAGGGGACGAGGGGACGAGGGGGACCATCTGTGCTTTGGAGTACAACAGCTCCCAGACAAGCTTTTCTTTCCTGGAACATCACGGGACATCCCAGCACAGAAGAGAAGAATATCATGGGGCAATCTCTCCAAGGTCATCTTGCAAACATCTTTGTCTGATGTTTGTCCAGTGTCAGCACTGCAGTGGCAGGGGGGACGCTGTGCCAGAACATTGCTCAATATTCCGGTCTGATTAACCCATTATCTGGCACTGTTTTTTTCTCCATGAGTCTCAATCTAGTTCAAGGGTTTTATTTCATAAACATGATACGTTGTTTTTAATCATACGGAGAGCATACATTACCCCTGGCCTTCGCTACTTCCTGGTTCAAAAAGAATGACAAATGGCTGTCCTACCCTGATATTATTGGCCATTATGATTCTGGGGGTTGCCATAGTGATCAAATGGCGGAAATTAATTCCTGCACTTGTTTTGCCCATACATCGCAGCTCTACAATGATTTGTGTAGATCTGCATTTTTAAATACTGTAATTGTGCTCTAATAGTCCTTCTTTTTTAGTTTTTTAAGTTTAAGTCAAAATGCCTGCTGTGAAATTGCGAATTCAAATAAATGGTGGGCTAAAACCTTTGCGTCATTTTATCGTTATTGTTTGGGTTGATCAAACGGTTTTACTGCTTTAATGTGAGAGATTTCAAGTCCAACAGTATTTGAAGGTTACATTCAACAACAACAAAAAAGTTTGTTTCGAAACGTCTTTTTCAAATGATGCCACATATTTAACCAAACATTGTTCATGACATCCAGTGTTTTATTGAAGGGAAGATATTATAGCGGCTTGAATGGGTCAGTGTGTGTTGACGCCGAAACTTCGTTGCTTTTATTTTGGAAAGACAGACCGAAAGTGGATCACGAAAAGTCTCAGCACGGCAATTAAAGATGGAGTTAAAATTGTCCAAAACGTTTCCATGGTTAAATTACCGTGAACCCGAACAACTCAATTGAAAAAGATTGAACACTTTTAGAAAGAGCAAATAAAAATAAACAACTGTGATCATGTGCTTGCACAAGTGTGCACACCCTCTTGCAATTGGGGTTGTAGCCTCGTTCAGAAATAACTCATGTCAACTTGGAGGTCAACTTAATACTTGCACTCTGATTCACCGCAAATAAACTTCTTTACCAGGCTTTTCCGGAATTAATGAAAAAAATGTATCTTCCATTATGCTGCCATGAAAACGTAAGACGGCAGTTTTATTCTTCGAGCACATCTTTTAGACAAATAGCCTAGCTTTGAGAGGAGTTCTGTCTATTCAGCTAAAAATAAACGGTTTATGGCATGTTGGCTGTTGAACTTTGAAAGAAAAAAAAAATGTAATAGTTCTGGCAAGCCAAAACGAGCAAACCGCCATCTCTCAATACGCTCTAATTTCCTGAGCTTCACTTGACAGCACAATTTACATCGATGTGTTGTCATTGCTAATGTGGAAAAAAAAAAAGTTTTATCGGCAAGTTCCCTCCAACGCTGTCTCCAAAAGTGTTTCACCATCATAAGTGCTGACAGGAGATAAGGCCGACTTATTGCTACCAGAAATGTGTTTGTGCGCGCGCGCGCGTGTGTGTGTGTGTGTGTGTGTGTGTGTGTTTTTTTAAGAAGGACAGGAAAATTTAAGACACACTTTTCCTGGAAGACTTTTAGGTGCAGAAGAGGGTAAGAAAACAAAGAGGAGAGCAAAGATAAGATGTTCTGGATTTTGTACGGTGTCCCGCCTCCTTTCTCAGGCCCGTTCTCTTTGGGAGAGGAAAGGGTGAGACAAAAATGGCAACACAAATAAGCCACTGTCAATCCATCCATCCGTCGCTTGTTATCAAATGTTAAGGATCACAAAGAAGTGGAAGTAAATCCAAGTTGACTTTTGGCGGAAGGCACTTCACACATCGACTGATGTAGACAGAGAGACAAGACAGCCATTCTCACTCACGTTCACACTGTCATTGAGTACAAACAGGCCCCACGTCGCAACGCGGTCCAGTGTACCACTACGTCTTCAGTCACTAGCCCGAAGTCATACAGCGCGGACGCATGCATGCGTGTGTGTGTGTGTGTGTGTGTGTGTGTGGGTGTGTGTGTGTGTACACACACACACACACAAATGTTTTGGGTTTTTGTTTCTTCTACACCCTTCGCAATCAACTTGCTTTAAAGCATTGGTATTATGATGAAAGCAATTTAAAAAAAACTTGGCTTCCAATCACTGATGCAAAGATGGGACACCCGACATAGGAATAAAAGCTTCCAAGACTTGAATGACAACCATCACATCACTGACAAATAACGACGTTTTATTGTCGGTCACTCTTTTTCCCCACCAAGTTTTCAAGGCAAACAAGGTGATTGAAATGTTCCACCGTCTCAACTGTGGACTCGTGCACGACAATATTAGACACTACTCTGCATCTGCATAATCTGCTCTTACATTAACAGACAGTAAGGCTGAAGGCCCTCAGTGGGACAACGTCCTGTCTGCTGTCCAAATAAATCCGAACTATGTCGGGCCTCTTTTCAGGTAGAGAGTTCAGCAGTTGATAACAAGTAGCAATCGTGACTGAAAAGAAGAAATACATGACACATCAAGTGCTCCTGCAAACCTGGCAACACACACTGGCGGTACAAGTGTTTAGAAATGTTTCAGTGTAAACCACTCGGCGCAAAGAAGGAAAACCGCCTGCTATGCATTAAACAAAGTCAAGCTGTCCCGTCTCGGCTGCCAAGCTCATTGTCAGAGTTGTTTCTCTAAGAAGAGCCTTTCCTCTTGAAGTGGAGCTGCAGTGATACACTGAGCAGATTACGTACTCCCAACTTGTTCGTAAACAAAAAACACATGCTGCTGCATTATAATAAAATCATGGCGATGATCGCGGCCCTGATGGGAATCATGATGTGACTCAGGCCGAGCTGCATGCATCCATGCTGTCATTCCTTTCTCCAATTAGTCCTCTCGTTTTGACTCCCATCTCCATGCATGCTTTACTTAAGAACAACTCAGTGATGATGAGTAACTGCAATCAGTCATGTGTGCAATGTGATGAAAGGATTAAATGGACCCTTTTTTTTTGGAACCGGGAAACTTTTAAGAATGAATGTTTGATGTCTTCAATCGTGATCTTGAACTCAAAAGGCCTTTTAGCGCTGAGCAGTGCACTGTCAACCAACCCGTTCATTGTTTACGTGCCACTGTGGCAAAACGGCACAGCGCCGTGCCGCGGAGGCTGGCGACAACACGCGGTGGCTCAGGGCCGCTCTCTTGAGATGGCCCCTTCCAAGAGGGGGGATGGTAGCGGATTGATTTCAGAGTAAAAACAGCAAGAGATTTAGGTGGAGCACTACAGTGAAACCCGAAGTCAAGTCGATTGAAAGCTTCAAATAAAATGTAGCATCGCCACTCATGCTTCACTTGTATCACGTCACAGTGATAAATACATAAAGCCGAGCTGCGGCCACTTTACATCCAAACCAGCGGGCGTAGGCACCAGGCTACCTCTTCTTTTGTCACTTAGCAACCAGTGCCAAATATGAGAAAACCTGTGCCCTACCGCCATCTTGTGCCCTTGCCCGTTCGGTGGGCGCCGTGTCGAAGTGACTCATCACTATACTGAGCTCACAGATGTAATTTTGATTACATAGCGCTGTGCGGTAAAGTAAACTGTGAATGGAATAAAGTCACTCATCTGTGTGCCAATGAATGTAGTACCTCTCATTTTTAGATGTATTTATTTGTATTCGTTTGAATGGGCTACTTTCATGAATTCATTTTTCAAAGTATTCAAATATTTAAACTACAACTGTAAGGTGATCAGTATTTACTCAAGTAAAGTACTAAAGTACTTTTTAATGGTCATTATAGTACATGACTTCTGCATTTAGAAAGATATCAGGGAGAAAAAAAATATGTAAAGCTCCTACCAAAGAGATGTTGCTATCAATAGTCAGTCATTTGTGTAGGAAATGAAGCAGGATTAAGACATGGTGAGAAGTTAAAAAATAATAAGAATTTAAAAAGTCAACATAAGAATGCAGTAGCATACATTCACGAACACAAACAAGCCTCATGGTAATTGTGCATTTTGTTTCTTGTTGGTAAGAAGGCCAATCGATTCTGTTTGTGGAGTCCGAATTGAGATTTTAGGACAAATGCGTGTGAGCGAACACTGTTCCATTTTCCTGACATCATTGCTCGTAATCACTTGATTAAACCATCCCAGAACAGATGACAGACACCAAATGCTGATGTTACCCAGACAAATGTTTACCTGTTGACAGCGTTGCGCATATACAAGCCATCCCGTGTTGCGTTGTGTAACCATCCATCAGAAAAAGTGGCGGAAGGCGTAGATTTGGTGGGAGGGGAGGCGGGAGGAGGAACGGAGCGAAGCGGCGGAAAGGCTGCTGGATAACATCATCAGCTCAGAGACACTTTACATAAGATGTGGGATGTAATCTAGAAAACAGCAAAGGGAAGGAGGTTAGTGATCCATCTCCTTTCAACGGAGGCCCTGCGAAGCTTTTCACAGGGAAACAAGAAAGGCCCAAGTAAAGGAGTCCCAAGAAGAAACACATGGCTGCCTAATATAGCGATTAATCACAATTAGGGACATGTAAACCTATATGGTGTATAACCCTAACACTCCATCTATCAGAAGGCTGACTGGGGTCATGTATTTGCCATAGTTTAAATTTGTCTGCTGAATATTGTGATATCACCCCACTAACATACACCTACGGTAATTCATACTTAAACGCACGCAGAGCGCGAGACGCAATCCATCCCCGTTTGCCTACTGATTAAAGCGATGGCTTGAGCAGGTCGGCATTTCAGCCGCCCATGTTCAAGAAAATCCGTCGGACACATTTATCACAACGGCGGGCGAGTTGTGTGCGTGTCTGTAGGGACCGGTGGCGTCTGAGCAGGATAAATTTAGCATGACCAGACACGAAGTTTGTTTTATTAAGAATGACTGCGCTGACTACAAGTGTCACATGTTGAAGACGTAGTCCTGGAAAATAATATTACTCTACAAGACACAACTATTAAATAACTGAAACATAACATGAAGTCCTTATTCAAGGCTAAACAAACCCAATTTCGATTTTTTTTCCCCCCACAATTCTGCTAACAAACCATAAAAACTAAACCTTGGTGATCAATCAGGTTGAGCTGGATGCATTTGTATCTTCAGTGGTGGGAAATAACGTGTGGTTACTCTACTTTGAGATTTGTCTTTTATTTGAGTGGTTATTTATCGGATGACTTTTTAACTCTTCCATGCACAAATAATGAAAACCTACATCAGGATATATATTTTTTTAATTAGTCTTTAGGCATGAAAAAAATTACCTTGGATAGTAACACACATAAGGGTCCATTGTAGTGCGACATTAAGATTCATTAATATAAGAGAAAACAACATTTGAATAAGCTGTCCACTCTAGTGACCGCTGAACCCGAAAGGGTCAATTTTATTGCAGACATTTGAAAACAGATATCTTTCTATTGACAAATTGTGTCAAAATAGGCTCAAGATGATAAGACTGATTGACTGAAACTTTGGGGTCTCTCAAGGCTGGAAAAAAAAAACAGGCAGGAGTAGCGACTCTCTATTTCCGTCCTGTATAACTTTATGCAGGCCCGATACTTGTGTCACGATAGTGCCTTTTGTTTTCCCGAATGTCATGAAAACACATTGTCTTGAGCTTTTTGTTTGTTTGGTTACAGATATTTTATTAAATAAATATGATGGAGCATTCTTTCACGCACTAGCTGAAACATTTTAAGGGACTTTTCACAAAGTTCAAATAACTTCCTGTGGACCCAGCAGCGACGTGCTCCTCTGTCATCGTAGGTCACAGAGGAGGGGATAAGGGTGCCAATAACCAGCAGCAGATGATCTAACACAGTTGGAGTGCAGGAAGCTCTCTGGGGCTCAGAGCAAATTTGATGGAGTTTTGTTTATTTTTTTAGGTCTAACAGTCCTTTTGGTTTTTTTTTTTCAACAACTATTTTTTTTAACTGTATGTGGACTGTTATCCATTAATACTGAAAGCAGTCGAGCAGAACGCACTGTACTGTACTGTAAATATTTTTTGAATGACAATGATCTCGGAAGCCAGTAGGTGGCAATATTCCCAGCCGTGCTCAATGAGCACCTGTGTAGGGCCTCTGATAGTGAAGGGCCTGCAGATTGAAAATTGTTGATAAATTCTGGAGGCTTCGTCACATTGTTGTGTCTGATGCTCTCGGCACTAATCAACACAGTAAGGAGGAAATGTATCATACAAAATGGTCGAATACTCATCAAAGCGACTGACAAATGAGATCTGTTTTGTTCTGATGTCCAACTATAGTCCAAACCACGAAACATTACTGTGGTTGAGATATCGTTTACCCTTCAGAACAACAAAATGACAATGATGGCCAGCTCATAAGGGCTTTGAGCTCATTTATTGTTGATTCTATCAGTACCTGCCACGTTTGTTTGCCTGTGGTGTTTCATTTCCTCCCGTCAGGAGTGATCCAGCACCACGGAGGAAATTATTCATCCCCCAGGAGGAAATTACATGTCCGGAATAGATACGTACGGGAAATGTAAGGTACGCCATTATGCACAAATGCAACACATTAATTAGACAAATGTATTTAAAGGATGTGATTGGGAAGACGCAACATTTTAACATTTGTGCTTAACCCTCCAAAATGCTACCACCAAAAGCTAGTTCTCAGTAACGAATAGACTTAAATGTTTATCTCTCTGGCCATTCTAATCAGTGTTGCCTTCGTAAATGATTTTTTTTCGGTTACATCTTGTACCTTGGCTGTCTTTAGATATTTACACTTACCGAAATGGATGAAAATAGAGCTAAAACTTCGAAATGAGCAATGAACCTTGCTCAAAATGTCTGAATCCCAAGTGGCAGAACACGGTCGCGGAGAGGCGCGCTGTGATTGGTCCACCGTGGTGGGTGTTTCCGCATTCTGCAAATAGCTGGCAGCAGAAGCGCGACTTGCAAGAGGGGAACTGTCGCGTCTGAGGAAACTACTCGAGGGAAGAGGGGTGAGAAGCTACGTGGGAGGCATGCCTTACATATTGGTCAGCACGCAGATCAGACTGGTGCGTAAATACAGCGCGTACTGTTGCTGTCGTGTCCCGTTTTGTGCTTGTTTAAAGTGGGTGGAGCTGCAAGTCAGTTGCGTTTTTAAAGTGGCATTGCAACATCGTGCGTCCTCCAAATCAACAGGGGGGCCGGGGGGGACAATGTGTAGAGCAGACACAAAGTTTGCCTGTAGTGTATTAAAATTAGTTTTGCCAAGATAGATATATTTTTTAATGTCAGATTTTACAGATTTTCACAATATAGTTCGTATATTATATGGGTCATTCTAGAGTTGGTGGACATCTTGGCTTCAAACTGATTGAAAAATAAACGGTCACCTTTCATCATATGCATAACAGTGTTGCATGAGGGAGAGTGAGACATTCAATGAAGGCTAACTATTTTATAACCATGTGGAAAATAGAAGAGAGGGCATACCTTTGCTCTATCCATTCTTTGATGATGCCAGGGCCAGCCTATCATGTGATTCACTGCTTTCCTCTACTATGCCAAAAAGGTGATGGTAACAGGGTTGCATGAACGTCGTGGGACAGACGGCCCATGAGCACTAATTATGTAAAATGTTTATTGAAACAAACGTTTCCGCTGTTACAAGCAACATCATTGAAACAAATATATATATTTTTTTAAATGACATTTAAATGTTTTTAGTTTTATTTGAGATTCAATTCGCTCACTGGAAAAAAATGCATTTTCGGCAGGACTGCAGAATTTTTATTTTTTTATTTTTTTTATGTAGATTATTTCTAATTTGATGGATGGGATTTAAAATACCCTCCAATTCTGGCATGACCCATATATTATTTCGGTTGTGTGGTGCCAGGATGTTCGGAAGGTTCCGGACAGAATCGGATTCCGCAAACTTAGACTCGGATAAAAGATTTTGACAGAAATATTTCTTTTCAGAAAAAGGCACGAGGACCACAAAGTACAAATAATGATGCTGGTACAATAAACCACGATAAAATAAGAATAACAAAAAGCAGGGAGAACATAAACGGAAATAAATTGTCTCAAAAGGACGAGAGGACCCAAAACGCATATGATACACAGTGAATAAAAACAGTGACTAAAACTAAGAACCAAAACACTATTTACATGAACAGATACAAAAACATGACAAGAAAACTATAGATCAAAACATCTAGAAAATTGCACTTGGAACAATAGCTCGAGCAAGGCGAATTACCCAACACCAGGTGATTAGTATGACCGTCCTTCAGTAATGGCATAATGATGATGTGAGACAAGTGCGCCGCTGAAAGGAAACGCCCACCGCGCCAGGTGGAACTCAGACAGAAACAAACAGAACATGACCTTTGTGGTGTGCCTTTTGTAATATTTTAATAATAACATCCCGCTTCATTATGAGAAAGGGCTCCAGTATGGTGCAGTGAAATTCCAAACCATAGTAAAACTGCAATATTAAGCATATTGCCAAATTCGTGTCCACCACGAATGAGCATTTTTATGTTAGTGATTTGCACAATGTGGAACTGGTACTGGCTTGCTGGCTGCCTTTTGTGGTATGCAAAAAAAAAAAAATCACTGCCTTAGTACAGTTCATTCATCCAGGCATTTTCTTGAGCTGCTTATCCTTACGAGGGTCGCGGGCGTGCTGGATCCTCTCGGGCAGTAGGCGGGTACACCCTGAAGTGGATGCCATCCATTCGCAGGGTCAGTTTTTTTTATATATATATATATATATATATATTTTTTTTTTAGTGGGGTACAATATATTTACATTCGATCCCTAATTTGGATGCAGGAGGTGTCTGCCCTAATGCCAGCAATGTCCAATTTTCATACACAAAATAAATCATAAAATTCACAATGGGTAAAGAGAAAATAAATATTGGCCTAGTTTCCTTTGTTGTCTGCAGAATGAACACAACCTAATTACGTTGCGTGGCTGTGAGAATTAGCTCGCCTATTTATAAGCGGACCACTTATTTGGGGATTAGTCTGCACACCTGCTAGTGAAAGCTCGAGTTGTGCAACGACCCTGCAACACAGCGAGCAGAAATCAAGTAAATGTGCTCCACTGCTGTCTTTCAGGAGAACGGCCCGACCAATGTGGGAGATGAGTATTCTGATCCAGATGTCATGAATTACTTGGGAGCAAGGAAAACAACCATGCTGGGAAATAATTTGTGAGTACTGAAATGTGTGCTTCCCCATTGGTTGCTGGTGCTACCTGCAACAGGTAATAGATTGACACGAAATGATAAGATTACTCAAAATGGGCTATATGTACAGTGATCCCTCACTTATCGCCGTTAATGGGGACTGGGACCCAGTGAAAAACCACGAAGGAGGGCTGTGTATGTGGGTATCAGCATGTTTAAAATATGTAAACAGTATTTATACTTTACATATTTGAGACAAAGACTACAGCAGTACACGTACTCACTTAAATCTTTAATTATAAGACCTTATACAGTCATGAACATTCGTCAGCTCTGCCTTCTGCGAGAGGCCAAGAGACTTGTGTTGGTGGAATAGAAGGCGGCTCTCACTTTACGCTCTGACAGGCGTAGCCGCCGTTAGCCTCCAGCTAGCTCCTGGCCAGCTATCCCAGCGCAGCCGATGTGTTTATGATAAGACAATTAATCTGTATTGATGAGGAGGAGGCGAAGAGAGACGTGCTGCTACTGCTACAAAACCAATCTCTCTCTCTCTCTCTCTCTCTCTCTCTCTCTCTCTCTCTCTCTCTCTCTTCCCGCATCGCACGTAGCAAACGGCGTTACAACACACAAGTGAAGGTGCTGGGCGGGGCTGCGAAGCCGCATAGCCAATCAGCTCACGGGATAAATCCACTCGTGCTGTCATTGGTCGACGTCTGGCCGGGAACCAATCATGCGCCTTGAATGAGTGCCCGTTGCATATACAGTACAGGCATGTATCAAACCTCTGAGTCGTTCGGCATTTTTTTTTCTGAATACAGTATTATGGGAAAAAAAAGCGATGTACTGAAGCTGCGATAAATGAAGTGCGATATAGCGAGGGGCCACTGTACTGTATATATATTTTGTCAATGCAACATTCAGCTTGGAGTCGAGAAAGTCTATTGGCTTTTTTTTCAAATATCGCTCTCAAGTGTTTTTATTTTCCCGATGTACAAAATGGTGGTCGCTTCAATGTGGCAATAAACATGGTCCATGTTGTCAACAGAACACAGCCTCTTATGTGGTAAGAAGGAGAAGAGTCCCCTTTTGCACGATTTGAATAAGGCCAGCAGTCAGTGTGATGGGAAACAGACTAGGGAGGTGTTGTCATTGGCAACGACATCCAAACGCTGCTGGGAAATGGATGAAGGTGTGGAAGGAAGTGAACAAACTGCAGAACAATTAACAAGATTCGGCCCTGTTTAGTGAGAACCCACATCTGGGGGACAGTACTGGAGATTAACTCTTGTTTATCTCATTTAGTTCCGAGTACCATGTGGACGAGCCTCCCCGCCTGGTGTTGGACAAGTTGGAGAAGATCGGCTACCGCATGCTGACGATGACGGGGGTGGGGCAGACGCTTGTGTGGTGCCTTCACAAGGAGCCCGAGTGATGTGAAGACAGGTGGAGATGGAAACATGCCAAGAACTTGATTTTTTTTTTGCTTGTTTTCACTGTGACATTCTCCGTGCTGCCAAATTACCAAGCCCTCCATCTCCTATAGTCTTTGCCCTCATTTCGAATCATAGGTGTGCTGCAGGCTATCCGAGCTAACTTTGGGCGCAACGTGGGATACACCCTTGCCTGATCGCCAGCCAATCGTACGCTGACAATTTCAGAAAAGCGAAATACATGTATGATCCCGTACAGCTGATTTCTTCCTTTCCTTTTATTTCATTTCATTTACTAATGATGACCAAATGTACATGTAGGGAGTGTCAGCTAGTTTGACTGCCTATGGGTATTTACAGTAAATACAAACCACCAGTGCAAACATGTGAAACACTGTGCTTATTAAGTTTGGATTGACAGTAATGTTGACAAAGGCGTTCCACAAGTCTCACAGGCTTATGATTAAATACTTAAATGTGGTTTTACTGTGTATTTATTGGATGAGTAATCGACCATGTAGAGAACTATGGAACATTACATAGGGTATTTGCAAAATAAAGGAAGCCAAATGTAAGAGCTGTTCAGGCCAAGATACTTGTCATTGACGAAATATTAGTATCAGTTATTAGCACCCCTATATACAATATATCGCAGGGAGTCCAGTCCACACATTATATCAAGATTGAGTGACAAACTGTTTTTTTGTTGTTTTTTTTTGCCACAGACATCTGGTCCAAGTCGGGTTTGGAAGCATTGTGCCCTCTGCCGCAGGCCCGAGGACCAGTCAGTGTTCTAAATTAACACCCGCCAACCTGCTAATTGCGGGTTACAATTCAGTTTGGCAGGTATTGATAAAAGCTGACCAGCCACTTTGGCTGGTGACACATGAGCAAATCATGTCGGCCAGATACTGTATACTTGGGCAACGAGTATCGATTGGAACAAGGGCAAATGCATGGAACCAGCTCACATTTGTTGATGTACATTAATTTTTATTAGAAGCGAGCACCAGCGTGTCACCAATCCTCACAGTCACATTGTAAACACACACTGGACCTACGCCACCCATCAGTGAGATCTCAGCATTTAAACTCGTGTGAATTTATCTATCACTCGTTTATGCAATAAAAAGACGATTTGATAATATTGTAAAGTGGATTTAACTCAATGCACACATCTTTTCAATCAAAGCCGACATTCTGATTCAAATCGGTTTTCAGCACACCCCATAGTTGTTGTATTTGTACTTCCACACGTCGGCAGACATGAAATCTTCAGTGGTGAAGGTTGACAAAGGCCAATCCTTCTGTCCTGGTTCGCATGCAAAGCCGTTGTGTGCTCAGAGCAGGTTTGGCGGTGAAACGGTTTCCTGTAATTGTATTTCCTGAACTGATTTTTCTTTTGGTGTGTTTGTGAACTTTTTTTTTCCTGTTGTTCAAAAAAGCCTACACATAAATAAACCCATGTGATGAAGGGCTATTGCAGGAGGAGAAGAGCAGATGTCTTCCACCGCACAACCAGGTTCCACAGCTGGACATTGTGTAACAAAGCCACACAGCAAAGATGGGAGTGGCACGGAGAGTTTGGACGCTGTGTAACCACCATGTGATTGCTAAATAACGTAATGTCTGCAGAAAAAGCCACCACTCACACCATAAACATTTAAATGAAAAGAGAAAATAATCTATTTGATAACTACTGTATATGGAAGGACATATGCATTGCTCCGGGCAAGAACAACGCCTCGCACTGATGTCCACAATCGCTTTATTTAGCTTCCATTATGGGACACCGTGAAAACTAAAAAGACATTCCAAACATTAACAATCAACATTAGAATAATCTGTTTGACACATTAAATGAATAAAAAAAAGATAGAATACCGTATGTACCTTGAAAACCGACATTAGATAAATTGAAAATGCATTCAAGCAGACGATACTGTATAATTTCCAGTCTCCCTCGCGGTCCGTCTCTCTGATTCCTTCGCGCCATCCGGCATACGTGACCCCCAAACCGGAAGTGATCTTTCAGTAAATATTTCACATAAAAAGATTTAAAAGAAAAACCAACATATCACAAATACACATTGGAAACACACAGTGGAAACAAATACACATTCATAAAATAATATATTAAAATATGACAGATTCTAGTTGTCATGGAAACCAATTGAAAACAATACTCGAGCCAGATCAACATATGACTACTGACAACTTCTTCAGTGGCACTTAGCTACGACAGAAAGTTTTGATTGACAGATTTGTCTTATTGTGGTTGTAATCTGTGTATTGCACCATAGTTGGAAAAAAAAACATAATTAACTTTTGTTCTACAAAATGTTCAGTTAGATGCAGTCCCTATCTGCGGGTGCAGCTATTGTTAGTCAGTAACCGACTGCTGCAAATGCTCAACCTTTATACTGGAATTGTCTAACCTGTTATACCACCGCTAATGTGAAAACTATGGTATGATAACGTCTGTCACTCAGCTTTGGATGGTGTGTATTGGAATGTCGCCCGGACAAAGTATTTATTGTGGAATGCACTTAAAGGTTGTTCAGGGATGCAACGCAACAAAGGTAGAAGAAGTGTATTGAATTTATGGTTGAAATGAAGATGTTGTCTGGGTTACCGCAACATTTCAAACATCCAAACAATAAAAATCTTGGCTCTCCCTATTCCTGCAGCATCCCCTGTGATGGAAAACGTTTGTTCTGTTTTGTGTACTCGTTCGTGTGATGATCAAAGAGTGATTCAAACAAATTACACTGGTCGACAGCAAATTTTAATCAGAGACGATGTGTCCCTAAACGTCTAATAATCTGTTTGGTTCATTGCTGTTAAATTGCCAGGTTTAGAGCATTGGCACCAACAACAAACATCATTATAGAGTAATTCAATATTTTTCTGAACATGCAACTTTTTTTTTTTCCATTTATGTCAAACATTTTTATTCATCAGTCACGTAGAACAATATAAAGTAACACAGTGAACAACTAAAATGGACCCCTAAGGAGTAAAGAATAGCATTATAATGTAAACCTAATAGTTTTTAAGTTATGATCCTACATAACATTATTTATTCATTCATCTTCCGAACCGCTTCATCCTCACTAGGGTCGCGGGGGGTGCTGGAGCCTATCCCAGCAGTCTTCGGGCAGTAGGCGGGGGACACCCTGAATTGGTTGCCAGCCAATCGCAGGGCACACAGACACGAACAACCATCCACGCCCACACTCACACCTAGGGACAATTTAGAGTGTTCAATCATGCATGTTTTTGGAATGTGGGAGGAAACCGGAGTACCCGGAGAAAACCCACGCAGGCCCGGGGAGAATATGCAAACTCCACACAGGGAGGCCAGAGCTGGAATTGAACCCGGTACCTCTGCACTGTGAAATCGACGTGCTAACCACTGGACTACCGGGCCGCCACATAACATTATTGCTATTTGCAAATGTGCGTGATCAAAAGACAACACGATTGCTGCTTTCGGCTCCAGTAGATACACTGCTCATGTTCACGTGGGCACACTGTGCAAAAGTTCATTCTTGGGTGGTACTTGTTCAAATGATTCAACAGGTTTGCTTCCTCTTCCGCGTCGCTCTGGAGATACCGCCACAAAAGCAATGGCAAGGAGATGCAGCTCACTCGTCGTTCTAACAAAATCGCGACTGGAGTAGGATGAGGCGCTGATAACCTGAGACAGATCCGCTCCTATACCGAGCCTATTTTACATATGGCGGGCAGTGTTTGGTGAACACTGTCAATTATGCTTGAGCCTTATTCATGGATGTATTTTGAAAAAAAGACATGCAACCTTAAGACACCCGGGAAATGTTTTAAATTGCAGGGGGAAAAAAAATGCATCTGTCTATACTGTGCTTTAAAAAGGTGCAGCGGTTCAAGGTTTGATAGTCCAAACTTCACGGTTATTCAGATTTACTACAATACAATTTAACAGTCTATTGCTTAAAAAAAAAAAAAAAAACGCACATACAGATTTGTTTCTCATTGATACCCCCCAAAACAAGTCAGACAAATCAGATTCGCTCAGGTTTGATTCTGTCAGAGGGATGAATGCTGTTGAGGCTTGTTTACTGTTGTCCCTTAGCTCCCAATGGTGTGGAACTGCAACACAAGACAATTCTGCAAGAGGCCCACTGCAAACTCCAACCAATGTAGAAATTGCTAGTCATACCTCTTTCTTGATTGATCAAGTCAGTCAAGACTGAGAGGTTTATATATACTACACTCGTATTGGATCTCATAAAGACTGCGCAGGTCTAACTAAGGCAGTGGTTGTTTAACCCTTTCGTGCACCAATAATGATCAGTTGTAACCCGATAACATGATAAGCTGTCTACTGCAGTGGCCGCTGTCCTTGAAAGAAAAAAAAACACCCACCTTGCCAAGTGCATACATCTGGTCATGTCCTCCTTCAGAAAAAGAAAGAAAACCCAAGCCAAATAAACAGCATCGTGTAATCTGATGTTTCCAATGCACCCCCCGCCTCAAAATAAAGTCACGTTTTGAAGACATCAATACTCAAGTACAGCAAAGATGGACAGCCTGTTTGCGTGTGAAACAAAAGGCCACGACGGTTCTCTGAAGTTCTACCCATCACATTCCAGAGTTAACTTGAGGGTTGGTTCGTGGGTGGGGGGTCCGGGGGGGGATGACTTCTGCATAGTCACGGACTGTGGTTTGGATCGCTACGTGTCTCAGCGGTTTTCACTGAGTTACAGGATAAAGTATATGAGCATAACGCAGCGCAAGGATTTTGGCTACATTGAAGAGTGGTCTCACTTTTGACTCAATTGCGACAAGATTTAATGGTCATGAAATAACTTATCAAATGCCTTTCATATTCAGGACCTTAACAATGATCCATGTGAATATATTATTGCTCTTTTTTTAATTCCAATTTTTTCTACATGGGGGTGGGGGGGATAAGAAGCTTGCAGAAGAAAGCACTTTCGGCTATTCAGCCAATCAGGATTGTTGGTTGTGCCTGAAAGAGACTGAAACGTCGTGCTCCGCCATCTGCAAACACGGTTATCCAGGCATCCATCCCGTTCAGTGACCTAAAACTTCAGGCAGCACCATCCATACCTGCTTCCTGTTATCTCTGAGATCACATGACTTAACTCTGAATCCTACCAGCACCCTCGCTTCACTAGCATACCAATTAAAATGAGAGACTTTCGGTGGTCTTTCTCGATTTATTTGCCTGATTCGACACAAAAACAACACAATGAAAAATTCAACCTTAAAACAGGTGTTCTGTTCATTGGCTGCGGGCCGGTGCCGAGCCAGGTCCTCTGATGCTAGGACGCAGCTCCTTCTTCATCGTCCTCCCTTTGCATTTGCTCAATGAGCCGCTGTCGCTCAGCTGCCTGTCTCATCTTCATCATCACCACGCTCTCGTAGTCGCGTTCATTGGCCAGGGAAGCCTGGAAAAGGAACAAACACACACAGACTGTCAAAAAGGTGGCCCCATAAGAGTGCGCGTCATGATGTTTTATTTTCACGTGCGATGGGCAGTGCCGTATATCGTGCTTATTTTTCCAATGACCTCACATCCTGTTCTTCTATCTTATCTCTTCTCAACAAATATCAGAAGGGCACAAAATTACTAGCCAGTTGAAGACGTTTTTTTTTTTCATCTCATGGAGACAACATCACAGGGCAACGCATGACGCAACACTGTCACCGTTCACTCCATGTTTGCTTTCACAACCATTCTGCATGCTCTCATCTCCTTAACCATCGCCATGGCAGGGTGAAGTGTGCATGAGACGGCAGCCTGGAGAACAAGTGTGACAGGGTAATTCCGTTGCCGGAGGTCATTATGCAGCCTGCATTAGGCCTGGCAGTGGCCTGGCCTCGAACAGTCGCTGCTTGATTGCTTTGTAGGGCTCGAGCTCACACAAAGAGACCAAGAGATCCTTTCAGAGAGCATGGGCACTAGTTTATGCCTAATCAAGTAGAGTCGAACATCAGGTCCATGTCACTTGCTCACACTTGGACACGCACACACCAAATTTGTGCAATTAATGACGTCACAAACCGCGCAGCACAAACCGAGTCCACACAAGATGGACTATATAGCAGAAGTCAGGCAATTATTGTCAATGTGAGCATAATTGACCATTTCTTTTTCGGCTTTGGAGGCCAAGCGTCCTCAGAGAAAGCCGTTGTTTTATATGATCGTAGCCAGAAAGTCTGACGGGCCAAGGAAGTGTCTCCTTAACGAGACATTGTACTGCAAGAGAGATCAAGTGGGCCCGCGCATGAAGGTCCTGGGGAGAGCTCCAGTGATTCAAAGAGGAGACGTAGGTTTTGTCGATGCGCTCACTAGACTACAGCATCTGGAAAGCATCACGGGGGACTCCAGCATCCATGTGCTGAGCGAATGAGGCTAAGTGTTGAGGAAGAGGAGAGGGTCGGTGAGGGGGAAGTTCCCCACGACTCCCCCTCACCGCGCGGCCCCTGGATTGAGGAAAGCTGCTATTATCATTCCAGCAATGTGAGCTCAAGCCCATCGTCTGACACGTAACGATGAAATATCACGCAAACGCCATTAGATACTCTAAATACCTCTTGCATCCTCAAATTAGACAGAACGCAAGCAAGTATACAAGCACGCTGTTGGAAACAGCGCAGTCCCCCTTTGGCAACCAAACTGAACCCCACCGCGCCCTCTAATGGTCACTGTGACGGCCTGCGAGTCGGAGAAAATAGGACCCTTCCGTTACCAGGCCAAGGAAGTCAGGTGTTTTCTGTGCAGTGTGACACATTTCCTGGAAGGATGAATGATATTTCCTTGCCCAACGGTGCTAACTAATGGACATGTTTAGCCGGTGCATCACCCTGTTAATTCGACACCGACTGTGCCCGTAGACATACGTGTGTGCGGCGTGACAATGCTGGGGCCCAGAGTGAGTAGGTGACCACAAAACACAAACAGGGGAGCCTGCGCAAAGTCAAGGGAGGCGGGAACAAGGCCACCGCAGAGGCAGGATGGCAGTAAAACAAACACACGCACACTGAAACAAGCTGAGGATTATCGCTGTGACATCAGCGCATGGCTGGGCCTCAAAACAGCGCACACCAAGGTTGACCCCGGGCCAGGAATGACATCATGAGTGCCTCCTGTGCTGTGAGTCAGTCGAGTGTCCAAACAGCCACTCATCGTCTCGCACTCCTTCTAAGACATGCGCAGCAGGTGGCAGCTCGGGGTATGCAGGTGGCCGCTGTCTTTGTCTCCCTGGCGCAAGTTATCAGATCAGCGGCGCATTGTGCGTGAGTGACAGGGAGTGACAAAACACAATACTATACTAATTTATGGAATATTTTGGCAGAAAAAAACCATCTCTCCATCCACCCACTTTTTTTAAACCGCTTCCCCTTCATGAGGGTCGCAGGTGAGCTGGGACCATTCACACAGATGGACAATTTAAACACTTTGAAAATATTGCACGCATGCTTTTGGGAAGAGCCAGAGAGCCACGAGATGAGCCAAGCGGGGGGATAACATGCAAACTCCACACACAAGATTCAAACCGAGACCCTCTCAACTGTGAGGCAGAAATGCTAACCTCTGTGCTGCCCCAATGTAAAATAATCCATGAAAATGAAAATAAACTGCATCGTAGTCTTGTAGCAGATGTTATGCCGCCAAGAAGCTTGAAGAACAATCATGATATTCTTCTTTGAATTTTTTTTATAGAGGACTGCCCTTGTACAATATATGCAGTTGTAGTTTGCTTTATAGTGATTATATTTGAACACACAACAGGCCACCTATGCTTGTATGCGGCAAGCAAAAAAAAAAAAAAAAAAAGAAGACCCACCTTTCAAAGTGAATTTTTAAAGTATGATTTTAGCACCTCTTACTGATTTTAGTGCCTTACATCAAGGTCTCACTAACAGGCCGGAAAACTGAAAAGGCTGTGTAGTTAAGCGCTTTAGATTAAATATTACATGGTTATTGTATCCTAATCTTGAAGTCACAGAGGTTTTTCAGGTAGTATTTGACAATGGATTACTCATTAAAGCCACCAGATCTTTTCAACTAAAAGGTCTCTGAGCCAAGCACAATATTTGCAGCCGTCACAGCCAAGACAAGAAATGGCAGCCGCTTGTGTCTCAGCCTCTCAAGCACTCGGGTGAATTTAATCAAGGAACTATTTATCTGGTGGCTTGTGTTGTCTTTTTAGGACTGTTTGTGTCACTGAGATATGGAGGGGATGATTTATTGGGGGGTGGGGGGGTCATGGGTGTGTGTGTGTGTGTGTGTGTGTGTGTGTGTGTGTGTGTGTGTGTGTGATCCCTGCTAAATTAAACAAACACGCAAGCAAGCGTAATGCACATGCAACAAGGTGAACTTATACAGACAAAGCCTCTGGAAATGCTTGAATGGATTAATCATCACTCATTATGAAACTCAGCAGACGTAAAACCCCAAAGGCCTGGTCGATTACAGTGTTGTTGTTGGTGAAGAACAAACACTACACAGAGATTAAGGTCCAGAATCTACTTCCTGCATTTAACCATTTACACGCATGTCTTGAGAACATCTGGTGCCCGAATGGAATTCCAGTACAAGACCGCCTTTGATAAGGCAGCAAAAGCGAGCGACATTCTGCAGACATGGTCTCAGTAAATACCTCCTTGCAGATCAATGACTATGGCAACCCGTTATATAGCTCACATGTTTTAAATACACGATGCACAATGTAGCGTAAAATGTGGATTTTGCCACAAAGGCCAACCTGCTGAAATGCAAAAGTGCGAATGGGCCAGTGTGTATGTAGCAAGACGCGGAGCTGCCGAATGTCACAGAATCACTGATTGAACGCTAACTTGTTACACACAGGTATGGGTATGAATATTAAAAAAAAAAAAAAAGAGTTCTTCCATGAGATCAAGAGCAGAGGGAAAGAAATGAGCACCAAATAACAATCTTCGGTACGGTTTTGGAAAAGAACACCAAAATTGTGACGCGTACTCCTGTATATCATATACAGTAACACATGTGTCAATAGTTTCCCCAAAGTCGTAACAAACACGTGCAGAATGACTGCCTACAGATAATCACTGTTGCGTGTAGACTGCGGATTTTGTAACAGAGAGAAGAGGGGGAAAAAAAAAAGAGGTGGGGTAGGTGAGGGTGCTAAATGCATATATGTGGACGTGTATGCACAGGGTTGCATGTGGTCACAATGTTGGACAGAATTGAGGCCTTTGGATGGAGCAGTTTGGAAACTGCTAAGCAAAGGAAATAAACAGCGAAAAGAGAAATGGCAACAGAGGCCTGAACTCCTGGTACCCTGGCAAATTTCTCATGATGGATGTGCTCAGGGATCCCGGAATAGCAAGTGTGCGGTGCTTTGGCTTCTTTAATATCCTAAAATATATTGTTATAAAAAGCAAAATGATGTCTTTCGCATCAGAGCCTTCCAGGAAGAGCTCTCTGATTGCGACAGATTTCCTACTAAAGCAAAAGCGGCTGTAAGGCTGGTAAAAAAAAAAAAAAAAAAAAAAGCAGTCTCAGCCTTGGAGATGTGAAAAAGAGGTCAGGCGTGGAGAGAGAAATGATGAAATCCAAGTTCAAAACAAACAATCAAGTGGTGCCCGTTTAGTCTGCGTTGCCATGTTGAAAGGGCTTCTTCTTGTTTATAGTGCAGAACCAGTCCAACGAATCCATGCTGTGCATGCTGTTTACTTGAAAGCTCTGCTCTTAATGGAAATAAATACCCAATCATGTTTTCATCATTACGAAAGCCAGGAGATACAGCTTTACATTCTTAGCCTGACCTCTGACATTTACTAAATAAATAAATAAGTAAATAAATAATATAGCCTTGCGAAAAATTGGTGAATTACTTTGTAGACGTAACCATCGAGCAAGGCCTCATCTGAAATGTAATGACGACCTTGTCGTGATTGTGTTTTAGATGAAATTTCATTCAGTAATTTCGAGAAAGATGCAACCAAACTGAATGGAAGCAACCTAACCCAATTCGCGCCACCAAAACCACAAAGGTGTTCTGGGTTTTTTTCTTTGCGCTCTTTGTATCAACCCACGTCAGGACATCAGATAGTATTTCTGGGAGATGTGAAAAAGAGGTCAGGCGTGAAGAGAGAAATGATGAAATCCAAGTTCAAAACAAACAATTTTTTTCTTTGTGCTCTTTGCATCAACCCACGTCAGGACATCAGATAGTATTTCTGGTCGTGTCTCAGCATCCGTACTCCGGCCGTACTCATCTTCCTACTGTGCCTGGCTTGATACAACTACTATCAAGACAGAGTACTGTTAGCATTGTTACATCTCATCCTAAGATTCAATAATGGCACACCTCGACTTTGACCAAAGGCGGATTTGTCGGTCTGGTGACCGTCATGCCGCAGAATGTATGCACTTCCTCTTTGTGGAGGTTTTTTTTTTTTTTTTTTTTTTTTTTTTTTTTGTCTGGGAGCATTGTCAAACCAAATTAGCCTTGAGTCATCTCACAGGAGACAAACAGTGATGACAAACGCTCCCCGGGATGTTTCCCATCTAAATTACTGTAAGGGGATTACAAAAGACTAACTACGAGGAAACAAATGTGTTTTAGAAATGACCGCAGAAACTGGGCAACTACTCAGCTACTCAAGTGAGCCGCTCTACTTTAAGCAGAAAGAACGAGAATGGGTTTGTCGAGTCGTGACCTTCTCAAAATTTAGGCTGATTAAAAAAAAAATAATAATAATAATAATAATACAATTTTTGTGTGCGTGAAAGAATCACACACACAGAGTTGGCTGTAACAATTTAGCTCCACGGAGTGGACAATAACAGAAAGCAGTTCTGTTTTCATGGTTATCAGTGGTTGCGGGGAAAGGGTTCTCAGAGGACAAGCGTTCATTAATGCTGTGCTTCACCGTTGAGTAAATGTTATGATAATTTCATTTGCGTGAGTAATTGCCTCTACAGTTCTGGCATCAAGAGTGCGCGGCGAGAGAACAAAAGGGGCAACGCCTATTGTTTATTAGATCAATGTGAAAGATACCACTTGTCCATTCCCATTGCACCCTGCTTGTTTAATATTCGTGAGCAAGAGTGTTCTCAACAGGACGGTAATATCAGATCAATCGAGTGAATACAATAAAGACAAAGGGAGGAGGAGGGAGGGAAAAAAAGCAGCTCAAAAGGCATTTCAACACAAAGCTGCAATATCTGCCAATAAAACACAACAAAGGATTCTACCCTGTCCTTCCCTTTGACTTCCATCCCTCTCGCATTCCAAAGTCGGGAGATGCGACAATTAAAACTGTAACCGGTTATCTCTTGCTTTTATCTCTCTTGTGTAACCGCTACCGCCTGCACACACATGTCTGTGTGCGATACTGCGCTTTGATTGCACAGTGACGCTGCAGGCCTCCAGTCAGGCAGAAGGGCCTGCGGAGTGCTACGACTGAGGGGCTTTAGACAAGCCAACGGCGGGTCAGGAAATCATGAAATCAGCAGAGCAGAGGGACAATGACATGGAGATTAGGGATCAGTTAACCTCCTCCTCTGGGTAGCCGGCCTGTTTGCTGACTGACCGTGACTTCCTGCTTTTTACAAAGGCGTGCACACGCTATGGAGCACGCACATTCTAAAACACACCTTGCAGCACGAATGAAAGTCAACCACTCTCACCCTTTCGCTCCATCATGCAATTACACAGGCGGCAGTCGCTTTAGCACCGCGTCCACCCTTTGCTATACGTAATAGGTGCAGCCAAGCATCCGGCAGCACACTGGTGACTAAAAAAAAAAAAAACGACTCACTTCACAACTTGGATGATATCATCTGACGGCTTGGCAACTGTCCGAGAATGGGATGAGAGCAAGGTGAAGGACGAAACACCTTGTTTCAAAAAATGTTTCTACCTGGTGGCTTTGACGCGTCTGGACTCTGACCTCACCTGGTTTATTGCTCAAGAAGAGACTTTCAACGGCAGCGCACTCGGATTGACCCACAGAGAAAATGGGAGTTGGCACAGGGAAGGATTATTGACGAAAAGACCAGAGCTGGAAAGGACTGAAAAGAAAAGGTGGATACGCATCCGGATGGAAAAAACTCGATTGGGTCACCGAGGAAAACCCAATTTTATCTCGGTTGCTTTACGTCCCCGGGCTGCGTATTGAAGCCTCCTCTGCAACAGTTGAACAAGTCCCGTCATGTCATGCTCGTCAGTGTTCCGCCGCGAAGCACAGCCAAGTTTCATGGCAGTTTGAGTATGCGAGCTTGGAGTTCAAGTATCCAGTATTTGCTCAAGAACACAGGTAAGAACTGATCAATCTTTTCGGGAGGGGAAAAGCTTTAAATAACTCATCATTTATTTTTTTGAATATTGGTTCATGTTTTCAAGGGCTAGATCCCCTCATCTTAAAGGCAAAATAATTTCTGGCAGCTTTTAGAGATCATTTAGAATGTTTCTTGGCCAATCTGCTTTAATGGGCTTCTTTCATTTAAACTTGGCTACATTGAGTGTGTCCTGGACAAAAACTCATGGCTGAGTCTCCTCCTTGGCCAAACTGACATGTTGGGATAGGAATGCTGCTTTGTCCGTGCGCTCCAATCTCCCGCTGCTACCAAAGTGCAGATAAAACCTTTACGGGCCAACAAAACCTGTTTGCTGTAGTGGCTTACAAATTCACAGAGTGAGTGTTTCAAGTCACGAACGCAGCTCTAATCTGGGCAAAGCTGTTTGGGAGGCTGTAAAAATCACAGACCCTGACTCGATTATCCAATCTACGCACCAGCATTGGTCCACTCGGTTTGGTTTTATCAATACAATCATTATAAGTCACAAAACGTGTAAGGCTTTTGATTTTCTTTCAGCGTTTCATTTTTATTTCATGTATGGCTGTGTGTTTGACTGGTAAGAGCCCACAGTTTTTTTGTTTTTTTTTTAATATCGTCTTGAACAATCTGGAAATCTGTTTGTCAATTTTTCATGAAGTAAACAATGTACTGATGGGTTTGGACAGTTTTCAAAAACCACCCCACCACGAGTTAATTTAAAAAAAAAGATTTGACAGATATCAAAGGTAGAAAAAAATACATTGCAACTGAGTATGACAATAAGATAATGCTTATGTTGTTTTGTTCTGGTTTTCCAGATGGCAATGATGCTTCCAAAATGTCAAATTCCAAGCGTTGACTACTGAACAAAGAAGGACGTACAAAAGGGTTCTACGGCTTTGCTGGTCATCTTAATTGGACAAACAAAAAGATTTAATTCTGTGTTAAACGCTGCCAAGATGCCACTTAGAGCATCCTTGCACAGAAAGCCAACTGGCCGTTGGTCAAGCAGACACTCAAAGCGCAGAGAGGTTCTCTCGGTCAACATGATCAGTCTACCGCTGGCTGATTTCCGCCACATTTCACATATTGGAAATGACGCCCATAGAGACAGCTTTGGAGACCTTTCCTTCCTAAAAATGGGCCAAAGTTTACTTCTCCAAAGCTCCCAAAGCGAGCAAAATCTCTTCTTGGCCTGCTCGCCACCACCAAAGCACCCTCGTCTGAACATGGAGGCAGAGGGCTCGCAGAGCCCGGACTGGCCTGTGGAGCAGCAGGACAATGCCACCCAGAAGAGGAAGAAATGCAACTCGATGCCACTGCTGGACAGCGAGGAAGCTGAGACTATATTGGTGGACAGGCATGAAAGAGGAAACAACGTTGCGACCACTCAGTTTTCCAGAGCTGGATGGGGCGACCTGAGTGCAGACATGAATGGAGACTCCTCGGCGGCCGGTGACAAAATTCAAGAGAAACAAAAAGAGGAAGACAATGGCTTTTCTTTTAGCCTCGATCTGGGCCCTTCCATTTTGGATGATGTTCTGCAGGTGATGGACAAACTTCAACACTGAATGAAATAGCTCAACGGTACAAAGAATGGGAGATGTCAAGTATCTAGTTTGTTTCCAGAAAAAAAAAAATTGTTAAACAAATGGTATTCAGCTTAACATTTCCTCTTTGTTGAGATATTGTCGATGTTGAACTATGCATATGCAGTGTACATTTTCACCTTTGGTGTAGTCCCTTTAATATTTTTGTTATTCCCCAAACCACACTGTACAATACTTGACTGCTGGTTTGGCTTAAGCAGTGTAGCGTTTAGAAAAGAAAACGCTGCAGCTGAAACCCAAGGTCCTGGAGCTGCGATGCCTTGGCGTGCTTGGCAATCTGCTGTGTGCAGAGGGCAATTTTTCCTCCGCACGCATCTCTGAGGCCCCACTCAAAGGTAGACCAAGGTACCCCCCATCTCTTATTCCTAACAATGTTGTGAAAACAAACACTTAGCTCTGCTTCCAATAAAAGTCATTGCCAGCGGTGGCAGGTTTCACTATAGCCCAAGCCACGCCACGGGTCCAAGATCTCAGAGAAAAGAGAAGAAAAAAAAATGGAACAGGCTGTTTTCTTAGCTGCAAACAGAGTCCCGCACTCTGGCGAATGACACACAAGAGGGAAAGTGGTCAATGGTGAAGTGATACTTCCACATATGTGTGGGGTGCTGAGGGAAGACGACCAGAGACATCCATTTCAGCTGTGAAAGTCTTGATGAGGATTTAAACAACACTGTGACCAAACAAACCTCTGACATGAAAAATATATGGTTGTAAATCACACGCTGTGGCCCACATGAAAAAAAAAGTCAAAGAATACAGGCAAATGTGGGCACATATGGAATGAGGAAGACAAGACACATCTCCAGTCAGTCATCTTTCATAGCGGATAGAAAGATGCTTGAAACCAGTTGTGGGGTAAAGCCACAATGAGCCGCAAACCAAAGTACCACGCGGGTCATGAGTGGACCACAAGTGCCCCATGGCAAAGAAAAAGACTTCTGAATTCTGTGCATGTCGAACAGGAACGGCAATGCTGTGGGCGCGCCTGCACTGTATCTGGTTTGCCCCTATTTTAAACTGAGCGTCCGATTGTTTTGACATTTTGATTTCAGAAAAACACATTCTTAAATGCTTCTCTGTCAAAAAAAAAAAAACTGTACTGTTTGGTATTCTGGAGAAGTAAAGAAATGCATATTTGAAATTCCTATAACTGATGGTTTTGTGGCTCAAACTACCCTTTGTCAACACACTTCGTCAGAGGGAAAAAAAATCTATTGTGACGAAATTTGTTCTTGTTTGACAAATGAATGAAAATGTAAGAAGATTTGTAGATGCAGAATAAAGGCGCTTCACTTCACTTCAGTATTTCAAACTAACGGTCTTAATTGCAGTGGTGCGGTAAGACGAAAAAATAATGTGAATTTGTTGATCATAAAATGTGGTGTGATCTGAATAAACGGATTTGGTTTCAATTCATACCGCACAAACAATATGTATGTTTTTTTATATATTTATTGAAAATGTCAATGTTCACAGGACAGGAATGACAAGGCAAGGTGAACTCTTGGATTTAATAAATGGTTGAGTCACCTTTGGCGCCAGTAAGCGCAACCAAATGTTTCTTGAAGTTGCAGATCAGACATGCACAACAATCAGGATGAATTCCTCTTCACAAAACCGTTACAGCTCTGCAAGATTCCTGGGATGTTTGGTATGAATAGCTCATCATGCCACAGCATTTCAACCGGGTTGAGGTAAAAACTTTGATTGGTTTGCTCCAGATGGCATATTTTTTTCTTCGGAGGCCATTCTGTTGTTGATTTGCGTCTGCGTCTTGGATCATTGTCCTGCTGCAACACATAACGTCAGATGGCCGTACGCAAAATATCTTGATCGACTTGTCATTTTTCCATTGAAGATAAGAAGCTGTCCAGGCCCTGAAGCAGGGTAAGCACACCTACACCGTGATGCTCCCTTCACAATTTTTCAGAGTTGGGAAAAGGTTTCTCCGTTTCTCAACAATTTATCGAGCCGTGGACTGATGAACATCAAGAATTTTAGAAGCATTTTGTAACCTGGAAAGTGTTGTACTAATTTATATCCAAAGTCCTGACGTCAACCCAATTGAGATGTTGTTTTGGCATGACTTCAAGAGAGCTATTAACATCAGACTTACCAGGAATCTTGTGGAACAGAGACAGTTTTGTCGATGATCCAAAATGCATCCTGATCATTGTGGGTGTCTAATCTGCAACTATAAGAAACCTTGGGTTGAGGTTACTACTGCCAAAGGAGGTTCAACAAGTAATTCAATCCAAGGGTTCATCTTATTTTTTCCTAGCTGTCCTGTGAATGCAGGCGACTTTAAAGGTAACTGTTTTTGTGCTGTTCAAATAAGAACCAGCAGTAAGCTTCAGTGCAAGGAGGCAATTTGCATGAAATGACGTGGACATGATTCTTTGTCTGATACAAGGGCACTTGAATCAAAGTTTGTTTGTCAGAGAAAAGAACCGTGAGATGTTAACGCCCTGTGATGTAAAGCTATATTTGAAAAGGCAAATACAAGAAATCCCGGTATTTCATGTGAAGTTATATTTGTGGAGGTCAAGTGTGACGAATCGCATAAACAATTGCTCAACAAGTGGTCTGCCACATGATTGACTGAAAAAGTGGGGGGGCGGGGGGGCAGTATTTGAAATCCAACGATATATATTGCCTGCACAGCACAAATATCAGTCACATCTGGTACTGCTTCTCTCTATCCAAACATCTAAACTTGCTGTCACACAGAATACTCAAAGCATTGTCATCTCTTTGAGCGTAGCTTTTATGATTAAACACTGAAAAGATTGTTTTGGCAATGTGTCTTTCTAATGTACTCGCGTCTCCTAGCATAACTTGATGCTACTGAAATGTATTGCAGGTTTCAAACACACATGGCCATCTTGTGGAATTGACATTGTTTGAGCTGTGTGTCAAGTCAAGGCAGTACATTTTATCTGGTTAAATAGCATTGGGACTAAAGCGTTCCAAAACAGATATTCAGAACAGTCTCCTAACACAATCATTTGGACCACACTAAAATCACATCATATATTTCCAAAACAAATAAAAATACAAACATCTCTGCATCGGTATATTTCACACTAATTGAAACCAGTGCATCCTTCCAATAAAACTAGGACATCAGTTTTCTTGAGCCTCCAACGGCATAATGGAAAATGATAAATGGAGTGGACTGACAGTAAAGTGCTTGATTGACATTATACATTTTCCAAAGCCTCATTTTTAGTCGGGCCCGACTGATTAATCGCCCAACCGATTAAATCGGCTGATTATGGCCCTTCGAAAATCGGCCCAAATCATCAGCCAAATGACCGATGTTTGCTGATTGTTTTTACTTTTATGTACTCTGGTTTGAATTTTTTGTAACATCATGTCATTTGTTCGGATCTCAGGTTTTGAATAGCCTTGGTCCTCAATACATTTAAGGAACGCTGATAGAATATAAACCCAGTAGGGTTCTAAGGTCAGCAGACCCGTGTCAAATAGTGGATCCCAGAGTTCAAAGCAAACATGGTGCGTCAGCATCAAGCTGTTATGCTGCACGGAAATGGAACAAGCTGCCAACAGAACTGAAGTTAGCACTGAGGGTAAATGCTTCGAAATCTAGGTTAAAAACTATATATATTTTTTCCTGTACTCACGATAAAGGTCTTTGAGCATTTCTGTCATCATTTTTTTCCCCAAACTCTGTTCCTTCTTCTTGTCATACACGTTGATGATGTCACAGTTTATCTTGGGCTCATTGTGGATTTTCTGAGCTTTTCTAAATAGTCTCAAACACTGAATCAACCTGACAAGCATGCAACAATTTTTTACATCAATTTATCAAAAAAGGCTTTAAATTCAAGACCATGGGCATGTTTCCACCAAAGATTAATCAATTCTTAACTGATTTATGGGCAAACGGGAATGACTTAGGCTGCAGGTGACATCTGTGGGATACTGCAGTGTGCCCCTAAAAACACGACATTACATTAATAATGAGAACCCTGTAGAGGCGGAGTCAGGGTTGTCAATGAAAACACACGGCCCCCACTGTTAAGGCCTCATTTTTGGGGAGCTATGAGTCTGAAGTATTGTCCTGAACGCGTGTGCATGTGTCTGTTCCCTGTAGAGAGCACTACATTTGGACTGGAAGCTCTTCCTCACAAGAGCCCTCGCCTTGTGTGTTTGCAGCTGGCCGATGTGCAGAGGTGATAGCGGGATAAATAACAGGAGAGGGATCTGATTGTTTGATTTCAGATAATATCCAGTGAGATGGGACCTCTCAGGTTTTGGCCACTGACCTGAAACCAGATGTGGATCAACATTATGTCATGTGGGGCCTCCTTCCTTATTGAGAACACTTCCCAGAGAAGGCTAATTTGAAAATCCCCCTACAGCTGTGTTGTTTTCAGTCTCGGGTGCAGAGTTAAATCTATGAAGATATCAGCTTTGGCTATCCGTAAGGCTAACTAGGTTACTGTAATACCATTTCAAAAGATTAGTGTGACAATTCCCAGTGCAAAGCCTAAATCTCCCTTGGCAAGGTGTCTTGAGGGGGTGAAACTGAGTTTGTTAGACTCAGAGAGGTGGTGCTGGTAATTTAACCTTCTCATGCACCAATGATAACCTGTAACTCGATAAACTGTCCACTGTAGTGACCGCTATCCCTGAAAGTCTTAAGTTGTTGATTCATTTCATCTACTCTCCTGGTATATGCAGGTGCAAAAACGACAAAATTACTACTGTGGTTTGTAAAACTTCATTGGCGATACATTTTAAAAAGGCGATCAAGATCTATCAAAATTGCTTGAATGAAACAAAGTAACATAGAGAACATTCCTTCCATCCTTCTCCAATCCAAAGGATTATATTTAAATGATCCAAAAGAGGGTTTCAATTTCAAGAGCTATGCGGCGGGCACAGTGACGTGCTAGCTTAACATTAGAGCACAGTGCACCCTCTGGGTTACTACGCGAAGAACGACGTTCCTGGCGCCCTCCAGGTCAGGACCACTAATGAGCAGCGGACCGAGAGGCCTCAAGCCAACACAGGCCCACAGCCTCTTGACTTCAAAGCAAATAAACTGAAGATCATTTCACCAAACAAACTGTTCAAAGCCTTTGTTGCAAAAGCCTGGCTGCACTCTGTGCACCACTGATATGAAATAAAACTTGGTTTACATGACTCTCTTTTGTGGGGAAGTGTTTAGGAAATTGAATTTTTATTGGAAGCATTACCCTGAGGAGATATTTCTAAAAAGAAGCTGGTGCACATGAGGAAAAGTGTGAAAAGAATTCCAACATTTTCAAGTAACTGAACATCTGTACCTGTGTCGACATGAACTGAGATGGAGGGCCAACTTCTGGCTGGCCTTCAAGCCACAAAATCTTCAATGGATTTTCACTCAGGCCTCTTTCATTCTTTACTGCCAGCTCCTATGAAGAGAAAAAAATAATTTATCATCAAAAATGTACTCTGAAACGAGCATCCACTATGTTACGTACTATGTTATGAGCCAATATTAAAGCTGTAACCTACAGATGCGTGGGCATAGACAACACCGATTTTCCCAGGTGAATGGCAAAAATATTCTTTGGGCAAAAAAACAAATGTTGTGAGCAGGAAACAACAAAAACAACCAAAAACTGTGATGCGGCTGATACTTTCTTGTGGGTTAAGCATATGTGATGGCTGTTGTGGTTTGAGTAAAGCAGACCGCATTAAAATTAATGAACCGGGATTTCACAGAATTCAGAAGGGAATAAATGTGGCTTCCTGAAAATGTATGTAACAGATCTTAATGTTTTTAACAAACAAAATGGAGGAGCCATAACGAACAAAATGAGGAGCCATAGACCAAGAGTTAGGTACTTACAGCTGCCCTCACAGTTGCAAATTCAACAACAGCGCTTCCTTTCTTCTTGCCTGACATTACCACATTCAAAACGTCTCCATACTGGAAATAAGAAATGAGAGGAAAAAAGTCAAACGGGAAGAGACGAGCATAAAAAATTGAGAAGAACATTTGAAAAAACTTCACAAGAAAAATCAGACGTGGAATAAAACACTGAAAACACATGAAAAAAAGTTGGGCTTCAATTTGCACTTTAAAGCTCAACATCCACACACTACATAGGTTTGCTGTGTGAAGGACTCAGCCAGTAAGGCAAAAGAGGTCGAAACTGTGAAAAAGTTGGGCTTCAATTCAAAACTTTAAAACTCAACATCCACACACTACATAGGTTTGCTATGTGACGGACTCAGCCAGTAAGGCAAAAGAGGTCGAAACTGTTATCCGTAACTTGGTAGGAGAATACATTTGATGAATAACATAAAATGTGTTGGCTCTCATCCGGGATACAGTAGGTGGGAATTAATAATAACAATAATAATAAAAATAATGGCACCTCTACTGCACTGATTTGAGCCAATTGCAGAGGCCAGAAGTCCTTTCAGACTCCAATTCGACCAAACAAAACTTTGTGAACTGCTCTCGAATGTTACTGCTTCTTAAATGCACTCCAGAGCAAGCCTACGTAGTGACACAAAAAAGACGCTCAAAGGCATAAAACAACAATATTTGAACATTACAATCCCCTACCCACAAATCAAAAGAAACAAAGAGAATGTATTATTTTACACACCACAGGGACACGTACGCAGTCTTCCATGTTCCATACTTGTTTTCCCACACGGTGGTGGCTATTTCTCTTACTCAAAGCCGTTAACTGTCACTCATTACAGCTTGCCATGTCAAACAAAACATATTTTTCCTCCGACGGTTCTTCCAAAAAAAAAAAAAAAAAAGGCAACAGCCTTATTTTCCACAGTCATCCCACAGGGCCATCCCACCTAAGTTTCTTTTGAAGTGAGTGTGTGCTAAGGAGAAATTCAAACGCTTTTTTTCCACACGGCTTGACGTCAGTGACACTTGCCCTATCCTCATTTCGGGGCGGCATATGCGCCACAATAGCCATGTGAGGGATGGAAGCATACGGTGGCGCACAAGTTGCATGAGAAGCGCACATTTCCTCATGCCTCTCTTGGCACTGCTTAATCACCTGGGAAGAGGGGCATGAACAATGGCGTGCGCGCCTTTAGAAGGGTACTGCAACATTGCCTTCAGCACTTTCACTACAACAAAACTTAATGGGCCTTGTTTAAAAGCAAAAAAAATGAAACTATCCACAATTTTGAAGTCATGCAGGCATCAGATGCGTGCATATTTGTAGGCAGGTTTGATAGCTTGGAGCAATGCGTTAAACCCATTTTGTTAAGTCGCCAAACCGCAGATAGTATGTATGTTTTTATTTTTTGTTGAGGCAAAAATACTCCGATTTTGCCTGCAATCTTTAATGCAAAAATATCTCGCCTTGGTAGAGTGAGTAGGTGTGTTTTATAAAGTATGAATCTCTTTCAATTCCCTGGGAAACTTTTCATGAGCAAACCCGGGGTGTGATTATCATCTTTCTTGCAGTTTGTCATTTGTCATTACCTTTTGTAGGAGTTTAAGAATGAACTCTTGGCAGTAGCCACCGTTTGTGCCGTCGTCATTTTTACACTTCCACTTCAACTGAAAAGAGAAAGAGACGTTTGTGAGAAACAAGACCTAGAATCCAAACCGATATCTTTTGATGCAATTCAAGAGCTGCATGGAGCAGATCCATGGTATGAGGACAGTGTTGAAAAGCTTGATATCCATCTGAGTAATGGTTCATGCGTTTTCTATATTTTGAACTCAGCCTTGATTCCCACCATATTACATGATGTTGTTCTAGCGATTATTGGGCAAGCATTCTTTACAAAGGAGCAGCCTCCACAAAAAGCTTGCAACACAGCCAAAATATTCATGACTTCCTGTGCCGCTAAAACCAGATCTTGCGCAACCTCTCCAATCAATCATATTGTTATGGCCCAGCAAATATCACAAAATAAAGGAGTATTATTAATGGCAAGGACAAAGTGTTGATTCAGCTCCAGGTCTCTGCTTGCTGTCAAAGAAGAGGCTGAATTTCTGGGAATGTGAATATTTATACAACCCCTTTTACTAACAATAATGGTAAAAGTGAAATGTTAAGTATTTGCTGCTCGATGTGATGTCTCACGTTTCATCTCACGATTTCTCTCAGTTCAAATGAAATAAAATAGGACGACGCAGCTGAAAATCTTAACACGGAATTGCAAAGCGGATGATATCAAAAGGGAATAACCAAAGAATTTTGATGTCAAAGTGTTGTCAAGGATGAGACGTGGCGAAAGGAATTTGGGGTCTGACCACAAATAAAACAACACAAAACCCAGTTCGCCTGAAATCCAACGCACTGAGGCTTCATCTCCGTGACATGCGCTGACATTGGTCGCCATGGGGCTGTAGTTTATTGTTCTAAATGAGCACAAAAATGTCAAGGAAATCCCTCCTGCACCGGACAGCAATCAAAAGTTGAAACCCAGATGTAACGTTTAAAAACATCAGCTAGCATCCCCAGTGTCTGTTAAGATTTCAGGCCATTACTGGGAAGAAATATAACAAGCTCCTTTTTGGCCATTTAAAGTGTACTGAACTGAGATTGGCGCTCAGTGATGAGTTTCACCAATGTCCTGCACTTTCAAAAGCACCATATCCCCTTTTCACGAATGAGGGATTGGAGACAGAATAAAAAGCCTCGTTTTGACCTCTCTTAGTAACTAAAAGCACACAGATTTACCTTCAATTTGGGGGTGACGCTGCTCCTGGAACATCTTCCCCCTCCAGAGTCTGCGGGGTGGGAAATGAGGCATTACTTGAAGAAGTCAAAAGATGAAGAAAACAAAGATTTGATCAGGCAACCGTGGGACTGATGCAAATGAATAGCCATTTTAATCGGGCTGTCACATAGTGAACGCCGCAGACTTATCATCTACAGAGTGCCTCTTGGGAGAGAAAGAACGCTGCTCCAGACTTCGGGGGGCCTGACTGCGTGCAAGTTGAAGATCTTTGCATGAGTAATTGCACAACCACAAAAAGAAATCTAACCTCGGGCCAACACTCTCCATTTCCCTTACCTTCACACGCATCCATACAATTGATTTATTTGACTCTTTTCCACCCCCTCATGTCTCCAAAATGTGAACGCAGGAGTTTTCATGCAAAAAAAAAAAAAAAATGCACATGAAGGTCAAGTTTGAGGTTCGAGTGTTTGTGCGTGCAAGTGTGCTTGATGCTTGACATTCCTCCATAAACATGCCAATGTCTACGTGCCAAGAAAGAAAAGTGGTCCAATTCAAAGTGTTATTATGCCAAAAATTCACATATCAATCTAGTTATTGTTTCTTGCGTTACTAATATCTGGTAAAACCTGCCTGCCATGCCTGTTGAATGCTGATAGCGCCGCTGACAGTTTGACAACAGGGATTCGCTCATATGAGAAGTAAAACGACTTTGTTAGTGCAGACTCAACTCATACAGGTCAGACGGAGCTCCATGGTGCTGGCCCTAGTTCTGTTTACCACGCAAACTAGCACAATGGATCAGGTTCGAAACGAAAACTAGAAGTACTTCTGTGACTGTAGTCTCCCGTGTTCTGCTGTTCTTCTCTTTCTCTTTGGATCTGCTCTCTGATGAGCCTCTGTTCTTCCTCAAGCTGTCTGGATCCCTCCTCCCTCAAACGAATAATCTGGTGGAAAAAGGCACACAATACAAAGATGTAACAACTTAAAGGGCTGGAAAAATAGGAATCTTGGCATTTCATTGAGTAACAATAAATCAATGTCACTATCGCATTTATTATAGGACAAGTAAAAAATAATAATAATACAATTACAGAAGATGGCGTTTACAGAGCTGGACATAACATTCCTGCAGTCATGATTAAAAATAATAAATTTCAATCATGACTGAGTAGGAGATGCAGATATCTAAAAGTTGATCATATTGTTGGCTGCCACGTTCCTGGGATGGAAACAACCAAATCAGCTTTGCAATGTAATACGGTATGTATGTAACGCTTGCTATCGTCAAAAAAAAAAAAAAAAGAAGAAGAAGAAAACAGTGAACTCTTGGGTCTTGATTGAAAAAAGGACACTGCTCCCTAGTGGTGAACTTCTCTCCACCAAGGCAAGAAGCCATAGCATCATGCATCATTTTCATTGATCACTGCATTTCTGAATTTTAATTGTGTCGAGTCATGCAATATCACCTAATTATGCTATGACAGTGAAGCGACGGAGCATCTGCTTATGGCCCTAAACATTGGAAGCTTTCAATTCAATAAGAGTCAAGAAATTGATTAAAAAAAAAAGAAAAAAGAAAAAAAATGGTGAAAGCTCCAGCGTGTGTTGGTTTTTTCTAATGTCCTGTACCGGAATGAATTGTTAACCTCATGCATGAGGGCTGGTAGTTGAGTGAAATTTGAATTTTCAGCCTTTGCACTTCCTTCATTCTTTCACCTCTTCTTCAAGTGTTCTTGTGATTTGGACTTCATCTTGGGTCTGAGCTTCTGCTTGTCGCTCTCTTGCCTCAAGGTCTGTCAAGCGCAGAGATAAAGGAAGTGAGTCCTCTTTGAAACCGTGAGGTTCTACACATACGGTGCCCTCCAAAAGGATTGGAACTGCAAGGTCAATTCCTTAGGTTTTGTTGTCTACTGAAGATGTTTGAGTTTCAGGTGAAAAGATCAGTATGAGACAAAATGTAAATATCATGGGGGGAAAAAAAAGCTGGAGTCGTCAAATTTTATCTCACATTCATCTTTTCATCTGAAACCCAATTGTCTTCAGTATACCGTACAACGAAATAAAGGAATTGGCCTTGCCGTTCCAATACTTTTGGAGGGAACCGCATAACATCACAGAACACTTTCAAACTGAAACGATGTGATGAATGACAACACAAACCAGTTGCAATTGGCCTTTTCTACGGGGAACCTACCAAGCTTAATCTTCTTTCTCTTGTCATCAAGTTTGCGGTTTCGTTCCTCCGCTTGTTTTTTGGCAGCGCGAACCTTGTCATAGGCGGCCTGAAAACACCAAGATGAATGCCAGGATAAATGTAAGTGTGCATATCCGAAGCCACACAAGAAGGGTAGCGGGACTCAGTGGGACCTACCTTGGCAGCAGCATCGGTCAGCACCTCCAGAGCCTGAGACAACTGGTGGAAGAGCTCCGCTGGAGCATTTGCAGAAGAGAGAAGTGATACAGGTAATCATTGAAACCGAAAGCCACAAGATATGTTTTCGCTCATAAAATCAAATGGCTCTATTTGTAATTTTGCTGCATCGGTTTTGAGAAGGCTCGCGACTGTTGTCTTAAAAGTGCCAAGTCAGTCCCGATATCTCCAGTGACAAGCCGGCAATAGTGCACCAGCCCCATGTCTTCCATTAGCGTGCCGAGAGGGGCCAAGGCTACAATCATCACTACCACGCAATATTCCCCACCGCTTCAGTTGTCATCTGACACACACACACACACACACACACACACACACACACACACACACACACACACACACACACACACGCAAAAGCATACAAGAAGACCACAAGTGCTCTCTATCATGCAACGCTACTGCACTATACCAGCCAAACTTAATTATTCTCTTATGGGAGGTCTGGCAGGGCAGTATGGTTACTCCCAGTTGGGATTGGCAAATTCTAACTAACAGGAGGCTCTGGGGATCAGACTGCCAGCAGAGGTCAGGTTACCACAAACGGTAACAGGCGACACAATGAAATGCAACTGGGAGAGATCTGCCATGCCCAAGAGGTCGCTCAAGTTGGCACAATGTTTGGAATTGAGTGGAAAGGAATGGGATGTGACCCCTCAAGCCGCCTTAACTGACCTCACATCTGCCTGCAACCTCCCCCAGAGAGGCAGCACATCCCAGTCTGGTTGCAGTCTCGTGCGATTGGGACAAAGACTGTCCATGCGTGGGTTCAAGTGTTGAGGCCCTCCAAACCGCTTCTTTTCCATTTCTGGGAAACCGACCCCCTGCTTTTACATTCTCCCTCTCCAGCCCCAACACCACCAATTACGCTCTTTGTCCTGCATGACATAATCAAGAATTGTCTGAGCCATCCAAAAACCGCAGAAACCTCACTTGATATATTGGCCAGCCTGTTTTCCAAGGTGTCTTTTTGCCCGTCTGACAACAAAGGTACACACAGATTTCCTTGCGTGATTATGCATTTGCTGGTTTGCGACTGCCTGCCAGACGAGACCAGACAAGAACGCAAAAACGTACCGGACGTAATTTGACTGGTTCCGTCTGGCTAGAAAATCAATGAGAACTAAGACCCAACTAAATGTATCAACTGTGGTTCTGAAATGGACCTTGACTGACATTTCTAAACAGCATTTTTAAACTTCTACAGGAGAGCAAGGCAATCAAGCTTCCAGATTCATTGTATGACTGCATGATGGCTCCGCGGGAGACAAAAAAATGATAATCTTGACTTCACTTACCTGCTTTTGGGTTGTCAGGGTTCTTGTCTGGATGGCATTTCAAAGCTTTCTGTCGATAGGCTTTTTTGATCTAAATAAAGAGACCAACACTTTAGAATAACACAAAAAGATACAGCATGTACATCACGACACAAAAAGCCCGACAGTATTCACGTTGGCATGGGTTTTGGCAAAAGTGAAAGTAAAAATTCTATCTTTCAGAACTCTGTGTTTATGTTAAAAAAAAATCTGGGACTGTATTCTTTGGATGAAATTAACACCTGCGCTGACCCTGTGTCCTGTCCTGACACGAATGAAAAGGAACCGCTGCGGCACACACCACAGTGAATGAATGCTGACCTTGTGTCCTGTCCTTCTGACACATGAATGGAAAGGAACCGCTGCGGCACACACCACAGTGAATGAAAAGTAGGTTTGTGATGTAAATGGGGCTCAGGTAACGTAATCGAAGTCATAGAATGTCTGATGCTTTACCTATAAAATGATTTTCTTTAACTCGGGGGTCAGTGGCCGGAATGTTAACCATTCTTTTATTGATCTTGGGACTAGTTATGATCAAAGAAGCTCTCGTTAGAGGAAGCGAGTGGGTGATGGAGAGGCACTCTGGAGTTTCCTGTTTAAAAAACAACAACAACAAAAATAAACCGTCATTGTTTTGCACAAGTTACAATTCTTGCTACAAGCTCTTCTCGTGGTGTCAGGCAGCTTTGCCTCTGTTCTGCATTATATTCCGATCGCTCCTTTAAGCATAAATCCGTCGCCTGCCAATATGTTACAGGTCAGATGAAGCACCTCTCATTAGTCATTTGCATCAAACACCTCGGCCCCCTGGCATGAATGCAGAGTTTTTCTTTTCGTGCGGACTTAACTCGAGGGGAGCGCGGTAAGAGCCACAAATCTCGTCTTCTCACTCCATTTTGTTTCATGTACGGTTCAAACAATAAATAGCTCAAGGAGAGAGCAGTCATCATTAGGCAGCCTCTCGCCTTGATGCTTGGCAAAGACTTTGTATCGCCTCAAACTGACACGCAAAGCTGGGAAATGGTGCCATACGCGCTTATTGGTGTTCTAAGCCTACTTTCCCCCTTTTCGCCTCCCTCTGCCGGTTCCTCCATTTTTCTGCGTGCCCTGTAAATCTCAAGCTGGAACAAATTGTAATTTACGGACATTCATATATTACTAGACTAAAGCAAATTGTAATTTATTGACATCCAAACGTGTCCAAAGCACATTCCACAAAATCAAATGGAACGGCGCAAAAAAAAAAAAGTTTTTTTTTCAAGCAACACTCCTCAACTATGTTCAATCGTAGCCTGCTACATTTAGAATCTCGCAAGCAAAAAAAAGAAAATATAGTGTAGAGGGTTTACTATTTTGTCATTAATCAACATGATGAAAAATGATGATGTCAAGTTGTGTACACTATACATTATTTTAAAAAAAAAAGGTTAAAAATTCCACAAATCAATGTGTCATTGTTATCGTATTCTGCAGCAAGTAGACAAGATAAACAAGTGCCTACATCTGTTGCAGCAGATGTTTAACAATATTAGTAGTGACCTCATTCACCTACCGATGACACAGCATCAGAAGCAACTGGGGGTTCAGTATCTTGCTCAAGGACACTTTGACATGATCGCAACGCTCGGATATCAAACATCCAGACTCTGGGTTGGGAAGCGACCACTCTCCCACTGAGCCATGCCACTCCATAAAGGGAGGTTAATTATATCTTCTGCCATCTATCGGCACAGGAATTGCAGGGACTATTCTACCTGTCACGGCACGTCACTGTTGCTGTCATTGACGAATGAAAAAAGATGTGTGTATTATTTGGCGCAAACAAATAATTCTCGTCCCAACTGCGTGAAATTGGATCATTTCCCCCAGTACATCCGATGATTTTCTCATGCAACTTTAAACTAAACATGCATATCGCTTAAACCGTTGATGCTGACTGAAATGAATTCTTGTGAGGTGTGCTGACGGCTCAACGGGAATATGCTTTCATAACGCATGACAGCTCGACTAATTTTTACTACGGTTAAAGAACACTTTTCGGTGAGATTCTGGGGTATTTGCGTTTCTGCTGTACTTGACAAGCTTTAGTTGACAGGCCAGCAAATGTTGAAGCAGAGAGACCACCAGTAGCCTAATAGAGTGGGGTTTGGTGAAAAATGTCTGCGATGTCCTTGTTAAAAGCTTCTGAGGGAACAATTACAATCGATAAACTGATCCTGGTAAAGACATAGTGCAGAACTGTGGGGTGAGTCCATCCTCCTTAATTACAAATCTTCAACCATTTACAAGGCTTCTTCAGCTGCGAGGGTGAAATTAGCAGGCACAAAGGGAAGGAGGTGTTAGGCTCCCATGAAACCATTTTTTGTATCATAAAAACCTGGCATTTGAACAGGGGTGCGCAGACTTTTTTTTTTCAAGCCACTGTATGTTGTGTGGCGTCTTGGCTTGTTGATGTTGTCACACCAGGTAATCAGTGGAAAGTTAAACCTTCCGTGAGGTCATTTTGATCGACTGCTTGTTGATATACATGGGTACAAAGTATGGCCACATGTGCACCCCACTATTATAACATTGGCTAATCAAGGACTCTTAACGTGCCAGCTACCACAGCACTCATCAGTTGACAAAAGTGACAACAAAATGGAAGGAGAAGACAAAGAATGCAAATCTCACATGTCAATGCAATAGCTTTACAAGCAATGACGAAGCACACAGAAATATGATCTGGGATGAGCCGCTTGCCTTTTTTATGATAAACAAAATGATAGCCGTGGTCGAGCAGCAGGCCAAATAACTGCCCATCACCCGACATCTGTCTTCACTGAAGCCCCCTACAGACTAAATATTCCGGCCACAAAAATTGCACATCCCAAACAGCAATCAACAGACCTCTACTGTGTTTTAGAATCTTAATTCTGGTTCCAAACCCCCCATAAGTGCTTGCAGCATAATCCTCTGTAAAAGACAGGACTTTTCCAATTAAGAAATTTACTGTTTCCCTTATTTTGGCAGTGATGTTGATTTGCCATCTCGATTGTGGATTTTAGATGTGGTTTGGAGGGCAGATGATCAGCAAACGGGCGACTATATAATGGTCAACCACTTTGGAATGTGGAATAAAAAGTAGAGGGAAAATGGACCAAAAATGATCTGAGACTATGGAAATTGGTGTGGTCCTTATAGAAATTAGAAGTAAAGTGGAACTATTATGACTAAACAATGGGGAATGGTCAGCAAATATCTAATCAGACGCATATTTGAAATTCAAGCATAAGTGCATTATTTTTGGAGCTGGTTAAAGGGACAATAAGTCATGTTCACGTCCAACTTTATTTTTTCCCTTTCGAGTCATTTTGTGAACGACTAAAACTTGTGCAGCATCCCCACCTAGCGACCTTTTGAATTAAACACGCGCAATCTCGACTCGATGTAGTGTTTGGTGTTTTAATTTTTTTGGTCGTATTGTACTTAAGACCCTCCTTCTTTCTTAATTACTTAAAACACAAATTGTTGACACGAAAAAGAACATATCCAGCCATAGAGCCAAAACACAAAACGTCAATGAATACACACTCCATGATTGATTTGTAGTTCACTGTTTACAGGCAGGAAATGTCATGTAATGGTTATTCTCTCCTTATTCACGTATAATTTTCCAAATTTATCAGAAAACGAATCATCTGCAAATACGACGTGATTATTTTTGCACGGAGTTCCCTTGAATAAAATGTATCTACAGGTTAGCTAGCTTATGCTGTACGTACCTCCTTCGTCGTAGCAGTGTTTTCAATTCCAAGCAAACCATAAAGGTCCAGCTGCAGAATATCCTTTGCCTTTCCAGACATTTCTGCCCACCATTAATTTCCGCACTAATGCCGGAATATCAATAAAAGATGTAAAAACGACACGCAGTTGACAATTCCTTGATTTAGTATTTGTTGTAGTTGGCGCCTCGTAATGACGTTTTACATACAGAGCACCCTGGGAAATGTTGTTTTTGTATTGGTGCTGCTTTTTTCAAGCGATTTTTCCCCCACAAAAACGTTCTTCTCCACAGATTTATTTTTAACATTTCGTAGGAATATACAATAAACGAAACACACGTTCTCGTTTTTTTCAGTTGACTATGAGTTTTTACAACGATGTTGTTGTTGTTGTTGTTGTTGTTGTTGTTGTTGTTGTTGTTGTTGGGGGGGGGGAGAAGAGCAAAAAAAAAAGCAAATGCATCCGAAACTACTGTCTTTTTGTAAGCGAGTGTAAAGTGCATTACTAATATAAGTACTGTACCCGTAAATACTGCTTAAATGTATACTGGATTACTGTTCAACGTACTACTTCTAGTACGTTATTGTAACGGGTGGTTGGTCGCCCCCTAGTGGATGAAGCATTCAATTACACTTACTATAAATGAAATCAGATGTGAAACTTCTGTTTCACAATACAGTATATTCCAGTTCGATAGAGTAATTTGAAACACGAACTGCCATAACTACCAGTATTGGAAAATTAATTGACAAGTTGAAAAAGTGCAAACAAATTTTGAAGAATGTATGTTCTGCATGCATAATGCCACATTTGACTAAAATCATGTATATGACCAACAGGCTACCAGTTCAGGTTGTATTCCATCTTTCGCTTAAAGTCAGCTGGGTTCCAGCACCCCGAGACCCTGAACAGCAGTATTGAAAATAGATGGATGGATGGATGGATAATACAATAGAATATATCTTTTACGATGTGCACACCTCACATTAAGGGTGGCACGGTGGACAAGTGATAAGCACATTCACATCAAAATTCTAAGATCGGGATCAAGCTCCAGCCAGTGTCGGCATGTTCTCCCCATGCTTGCGCGGGTTTCCTTTGGATCCTCTGATTACAACCCCCATTATTAAAACATGTGAGGCAGACATGCTAACCACTAGACCCATAAAAATGAATATTATATGAACACAATACCGCATACAACAAAAGTAATATATTCCTATTTGTACTGCAGCTCTGTTTAAAATCATGAATCATCAAGAATTGCACATATTCTTTTCACAATCATTAATCAACAATCTGAAGACTGAAGTATCTTTTTTTTTT